ATTTAAGCAACAGTAATTAAAATATGGGTCCATTACTCTTAATTTAAATCTACTGAAATTTTAGATCCCCATTTACAACATTTCGGGGGGGGGTGCACGGGCACACCTGGCAATCCCTGTACGTACACCTATGAAGACAGGGTATTATAATTCAATTTGTTTTGTTAACAATTTGTTAATTTTAATTTATTAACTATTATTTAAATAAGTATTATAATTTTAATTTTTACTTTTTTTTTATATTTATTATCATTTTAATTTTCATTTCAAATACTTAACATTAAAATTTAAAATAATGAACTTTAAAAATGTATTGTATGATATTTTATTAATATTTGCTACTTAACTATTTTAGTTACAATATTATTGAGAACAGTTTACATAGCAATTATCTACCTTGTATTTATAAATAGTGGTATTAGTGGTACATTAATGTCTAATAGTGTACTATCGACTTACATTAGTGCTTTGCTTAGTAGCAAGTATATAATTATACTTAGCTTTTATTAATGTAATTATTGTCATTAATTATTATTGCATAAGTATCTGGTAGTGAGTTTTGTAATAGCTACTTAATTAATAATTACTTGACACTTGATTTGTATAAAATCGGAACATCTCTAGTATATACTATTACAACTTTCTATTACTTACAAATTACGAAATAAGTACTTACTTATTTCGTAATTATTAATCAATTATTTAAATTCAGAATTAACAACAAAAATATTAATTTTGGAACAAATACCAACACAAAGTTACAAAATATTATTTCAGATTTTTAAAATTTAAAATGGAGCTTTTACCATTGTCGTGTAGCATAAATTTTTACTCAGAAAAATTTTTTTTTACGTCACAAAAAACTATAAGCACATACTTAAAACAAGATATTTCTTCTTGTAATAATTCTATAATGCCTTCAATTTCGTCATTTATTTCTTTGCTTAATATTCCATAAATTGTTTTCATTTTAGAATACCCTGGATTTTTGAGCAACACTTGTGACATTTTAAGTTTAGCAAATTCTATGCATATTTCTCCTTTTTTCACGTAGACGAAATATTTGATGGGGAACAGAAAAATTATAAATAAAATATTACAGTATAAGACTAATGTCATCTACCAATAATATGATATTACAGTCATTGTCCAATTTGTTGTAATTTGCTTCCGTGTTATTGCGTCGCACTGTGTCGGTTACGATAATTTGTCTTTAAAATAACTTTAACAAGAATAGAATCAGAGATAATATTATAGATGCGAATTTTATAGATTGTTAAAAATAAAATAATAAATATTAAACAAATAAGTTTATGAATCAGAACCCAACTAAAAAATTTTTTTTATTTATTATTTATGAAATATACATTTTTTATGCAATTATATAGAAATATGCAATTCATTATCATTTTTACTCAAATATGCAAAATATGCAAAAACAAAAATTATCCAAAAGATTCTATACAGTACGAGAGATCGACATTTTTAATCAAAATTATTCCAGATGAATTGTAGAAGAATATGCATTTGAATAAAAATCCAGGCCTAGTTATAAATTATAATTCAGCCATACGTAACAACCTAACAAATACCCTTAAAGTATTTGAAAGGATTCAATTTTCTCCATCGCAGTCGAATATACGTCGGTTCAACACGATTGAACAATTTTCCCTTTCTTAACCCGATTAATTACACCACGAATTATTTTTGGCATTTTATATAATACCTAGGAATTTTATAAATTACAAATTCGGTAACAAAATACAGAATTATCCATATTGTCAGTAACATATACAATACATACTTTCTATAATTTGCATATACATGCACTTAAACTATTAATTTACAAAATTCACGTTTTCAAAATCAAAATAAAATGTTGATTGAGCTAATGATAATTATAATAAAAATATCGACTAATGTCTATCAGTATAAAAAAAAAAACAATTTTTAATAAAAAAAATGTCGACTATTGACTATGTCAGTATATATTTAGCATACATGTAATTTAGAAAAAAACAATTTTTAACCAAGCCAACGATGATAATTTGTTGACAGTACTAAGTCTGTATTAATTGCAGTGGCGTAGCCAGGGGGGGAGGGGCTGAGGGAGCTATAGCCCCCCATGGGCCGTGTTTATATGTATAGTGTATCTATGTACTAAACTAGTATACTACTATTTTTATTTAAGTATTTTAAATCTTTGATATTAACTAAATTTTGACGATTAACGAATAACAGGTGTTTGTCTTTGGCGTAGATATTACAGATTACTAATACCTCTAGTTTCTACCATGATTATCACTATCTTTTCGATGATTATCATGCAAGGTTGTGGCGAGTCACTATCAAATATTTAATGACGTCAACATGGGAAAGTGTTAATATTGAAATAAATATGCCACGAGTATGTAAAAGGCAAACTCAGAGAGAAAACTTTATTTCTGAAAATCCAGAAATATATTTTAAATGTTCTACTTTTATTCCTTTTCTATTTAATAGAATCAATGGATGCTCGTTTTAATCAAAGGCTTATTGATGTTATGTCACTTGAAGGACTTATTCCGGCCAATTTAAATATGTATGACGATGAAAATATTATAAAAGCTGCTAAAATATATGCCCAAGATCTCCATGATGATACCTCATCTACAATCAAAGCTGAGCTGTTCATACGGAGGCAACAATGAAGTCAAAATACTATTCCAAAACCGAATTCTGTTGTTGATTCACTCTCTCATTGCACCAATCTTCAACCTAACATTAAAATACTTTTACAATTATTCGCCACGTTACCAGTTACCTCTTCCACTCCGGAAAGAACTTTTTCTGCACTTAATCGCTTAAAAAATTATTTAAGAAACACCATGTCGGAAAACAGACTGAATGGGTTAACTATGGCTAATATAAATAAAAAAGAGCAATTCGATGAAAATGAAATAATAATTGAATTTGCCAGAAATTCACCTAAGAGGATGCAGCTGTCAGAGTAGAGCAAGTGACTGAACATTGAAACCAAAATCATTATTATTATTATAAATTATATATTAATAAATATTTTTAAAACTATACTAAAATGCTTGAATTGCATTTAAAAACTTGGTGGTAGATAGTGGGGGTGTTAAGGGTGAATTCTCATATCTTCTCTTACCTTACTTATCCAAAAAAGTGATTAGCCTTTCCCATTTAAAAATCCTGGCTACGCCACTGAATAATTGGGAAGGAAAATTGTGAACTAATAGGTAATAAGTTTGAGTGCATGTACATATGTATATGAAAATTATATGTAGAAAGTATTTATTGTATACATTATTTTATGTTGTACATAAATTATTATACATAGTATATAATACACATATTAATTGGTGCGCAATGGTGTTGTGATTTTAATAGGTAAAAAGGGGACCGGGGTGCAATTGTGTAGCAAATTTTTTGCGCAATCGTGGTGAATTAATCGAGTTAAAAAAGGAAAAATTGCGCATTCGTGTTGCATCCATGCACATTGTAACATCGTGTACATTAGTGACAAATTGTGGGAACGTTTAAATAATAATGATAAATAAAGGGACCTAAATGAACACTTAAGGCAATAAAAATGTAGGTACGTAATATAAAATGTTAATAAGCTCAATTGACACGGGGCCATGAAATCAATGGCATACGCAGATGTGTGGCTAACGGGCTGAAGCTCCCCCCCCCCCATTGACCATATTTAGTATTATTTGTTTTTATATTTATCCACGATTTAAGATAGTATATTTAAATCACATCCAGTAGTCCCAGTATATATAGTCCATAGATATCAATTATCAGTAGCACCGTAATCTATATTTATAGGTATGGCAAGTTACTTAATCACCTTAACTCACCTACTCATCCATCAACAGAAAATTTAGAAATATTCTACTAAATTTAAACATTTTATTTCTTAGATATACAATAAACTTATCAGATATTAGAAGGGTACCAATACTTAATACATACTATGTACACACATATACATACTATATACGAATACATACTTGTTTTCTTAACCTAGTGTTTAATAATTTCTCAAGAAATATTCTTTCATAGACTTCAACTTTATTTTAGTGTTCCAGCTATGGGGTACACACTCCCAAAATAAAATTGTATATGTATGGCGACCGCTATACATGAACATGGATTTCAGTGCCATCATATATGATTAAAACTGATATTACCAAGCATCGTTAGGTTATTTTCTCAGTTACACCAGAGAGAATATTTTTAATATTGAAACGTGTAAAAATCATACTTATGATTAATCATAACGGAGGAACGTTTTAAAAATAAAAGTTTACCTAATTTGAAGTTCTACAACAATTATAAAAAACCTCACTTAAGTAGCTATAATTATTGACTGGACTTAACAAAATAAAAATCTGTTTTATCATCATTATTTTTATAATAGTTTTTTTACTATCTTACGCTTAATATAAGAACTTAAAAGTACTTTCTTATTTTTCAAACTTAATCTTGTGACAGTTAAGTAATTATTTATTTTCAAGCCCTCCATTGAAAAATCCTGTTTACGCCACTGCATGCAATTGTAATTTTTCCGAGATAATTTATTATTGAACCTTAAACAGATTCTCTTCGTATATTTTAATTATCTAAACCACTTGCATAATATCGATGGATAGTTGCATTGAGTCGGTTAAGTTAAGAATTTATTTAAAAATCCTTCCATTTTATAACAAAATTTATTAACACATCATGGTTGACCGTAATTTAATATGTGCACTTAATAGACACATTAACATAATCAATACTTAAGTATAGAATGAGTAATATACTAATATACATATTACTATTAACAATTCAAAATAAAAATGTCCAGTTCTTGGCTGTAAATGTCATATTAATTGAGTCTAGACACCTCCTTGATCCCTCTATCCAACCATAATCCGGGTTTTACCCTCACTATTATCATTAATGTTCAATAATCGATTGTGATTTTAGATATCGATTATTGTTGTTATTATCACAAGCATAACGTAGAGTTATCCTCCAAATTTGAAATAAATAGGTATTTTTATTGGTTGTTGGTTGAATTTCCGTTTCCATCAACGGTTTCGTCTAAAATCCGCCTTGTTGGACGAACGGTCATCATTTGGTCAATATAATTGAACGTTTGTTTTCTCCCTCTCCAACACTGTTATAAAACTCGTTTTTGCTTTATAAGTAACCAGGCGAGGTACCTGGTTCACTCTTTAAACGTTCATAGGACACAGGCGTAACTATGTTGACAATGACCGAGTTCAGCAAAGTGTTTAACGACAATATCCATGGGCATATTTCACTTCATCCATTGTGTGTAACAATTATCGACACTCCGGAGTTTCAAAGACTACGTAACATTAAACAGCTCGGCACCACCTATCTAGTCTACCACTGTGCGAGTATCAATCGTTTTGAACATTCTCTTGGGTATTTTTTCATTTTTTTATCAAATACTTATTAGAATATGGTTATATATTTTTCATTATGTTTATAATATATTCTTTTTTTTAGCGTTTGTTACTTAGCTGGTCAAATTATTGATGCTTTGTGTTGCAATTCGGGCAATGAAATCTGTGTTACACCAGAAGAAAAACTTTGTGTTGAAATAGCTGGGCTTTGCCATGATCTTGGACATGGCCCTTTATCACACAGCTGGGAGAAATATCTAAAAGCTTCTGGGATTGACTGGAAGGTAAATTAGTTGGCATTAATAGTAATATCATTAGGTTACAGAAAAATATTACTACCTTTTAAATATTATTTTATTATCAACTCATGACTTTCTAATAAGTTTTGTTTCACCATAGAACAGCATTCTATAATCTTTTTGTGGGTTTATCATTTTTTACCATTGATATTGTGTATCTCAATCTTCATGCAGATAGATGAGTTTATTATACTATAAAATAATATTAAATAGTACCATATTTCTGTTATCTAATAAAATTATTAAGAATTATGAATATGATGAAAATTGTAAGTTCAACTGACACTTTTAGGAAAATAAAGTATATAAAATGACTGTCTTCAAATTTAAAAAATAAATAAGATAAAAAGTTAATTATTTAATATTTTCAATGAAATATTTAAGTTAACCAATAAAAATAAATGTTATAAGTCCTACTTGTTTTCAAAAAAAAAAAAATAAATGTATAAATTGAAAATATCTGTACACAGGAGATCTCAACCTGGGTAAATTCTGATGAGACTATTATTACAGATAAATTAGCTTCCACCACAGATATATAATACATAATACATTATATATCTGTGGCTTGCATATAATATAATTCTAAATTTAACATAAACTTGCTTCATACCAATACCCCCCATACATTTATACTTTTGTTTTAATTTTACATGCTAATAATAACTATTAAAATTATAATGTTTTTATTTTAATACGTTTTGAGTATTGATTATATTTTTGAATGTTAAACATATTTTTATATCTAGAGTTAACATTTGAATACATAGTATTTTTTTAAATAATCTTAGATAATGCTAGCCACACTCAAAATTAATTTCATGAAAGAAAAACTTTAGAGGTAAAACATTAATTTTGCATTTTTCAATGTTTTTCATTTTTTGATCATTTTATTAGATTTCATGTATATTTTTAAAAATAGCAACTTAATTATTTTAATTTAACCAATTTGGACAAATAATATTTATTGAATATGTATGTTTAAATTTTAGTTTTTATATAGTTTTTTATTGTTACATTTAATTTTAGCATGAAGAAAATTCAATTAAAATGTTGAAATATGTCATAGAGAAATATGAACTTCAAAAGGAGTTTAATAAATATGGACTTAGTATGGATTATCACGTTGAATTGATATATGAATTTATTATTGGAGAAGGTACTTTACTAAAGAAAAATCATTTCTTATATCAAGTAAGTATTTTTATCTTATTGTTAAAATATATTACCTATGTAAAATTTATATATTTTTAGATTGTATCCAACAAAAATAATGGTATTGATGTTGATAAATGGGATTATTTTTTACGTGATGGAAAATGTTTAAATTTAAGTATATCATTTGACTATAAAAGACTTATGAAATTTTCTAGAGTTGTTCTTGATCCTAAATCAAATTTACCGGTTATAGCATTCAGAGATAAAGAAGCAAGAAACATATATGATATGTTTAGAGTAAGATCTGATTTACACTGTAGAGCTTATCAACATACAGCAGTACAAAATACTGAGTTAATGTATGCATTATATTTATCTACTATTTATAAAATGTTAAAATTTATTGTAGTTACAGTATTTGTCGCTTATTAAACTTTGGTGCTAGGTCGTTTGAGTTTATTAATTAATTGAATCAAGAATGAAAAAGACCTGCGAACATTAGGCTCACATTATTAAAAAATAAAAAATAAATAAATAAATATATATATATTATATAAAAATTATTAAAAAAAAACAAATTAAATTCATTGCGATTTCAGATTATAAAATAAAGATATGTATGTATAAAACATTTGTGTAGGTTGAATAGAAAAATACAAATCTGTTTTGTATTTGTATCTGTTGCTGACAAAAAGTAAAAAAAAATTGTTACTGAGTATGTTTTGCTCTGTAATGCTTAAATTACATTATAACCATAGCTATAATAATTATATCTAATTAATTTTCAATATAAATCCATTTTAATGTTAATTGTTTAATTTTCAATTGAATAATTTATTATATTATAATTATAACATAGGTAGTATTATAATGGACTTGATAAATTAATTTCTTTTTATTCTTTATGTTAATGTACATGCAAAATTTGTTAATGAGTTAAATAGGCAACTAAGTTTAGTTATTAAATTTTCCATATTCAAATATAAAATTTAAACTTATACATGATAAGAACAACATAATTAATTTTATATAAATACTGCTCGTGTTGATATGTATTGTAATCTAATGTATACAATGTATACATAATACTTATTGTATAATATAATACTATCTAATATAATCTAATAGATGTTATTTTTCGACTAAATATTATATTTCAGTTAAAAATGGTTTTTCTATAAATATTCATCAGAAATTATTATTTCTTCTTCTTCTTCACCTTTCTCCCAACTATTTGGGGTCGGCCGTCTTTTCATCAGCAGTTATTTAAATCATTATATTTGTCTTGTATGCACAAATGTTTATTATTTATTTTTGATTTGTAATATATAAAGGCACGAAAAAGTATCTAAAATGCCTACATTATTTCTTTAATGAGTAATTATCAATTATTATTCATACAAAAACTGTTAAAATTACTGTGAAAATTAAAAACAAATTTATGGTAAAAAATAATAAAGTAACAAATTTCTATAATAAACTGGGGATTTTTTTAAGAATTCTACCTTATGCTTTGCTGGTTATTTAGAGTTATAATACAGAATTTGAAAATTAATGTAATACATTTATAAAAATTTTAGTAAATGTATGGCTTAATTTTATTTTTGAAATTTAAGAATATGGAGGCTGGATTGATCCTTGTACAATACTGATATTAATTATAGTGAACATTTTATTCCTACAGATTATATACTTAGTACAACTTATGCTAAATTCATAACAATATTGATTTTATTGCATTAAATAGGTCTTATATTTTAATTTACATTTAATTTAAATAAAATATATTTTGTTATTTTTTTCTGTTTAAGGTTTATTGACATTTTATTGAAGGCTGAAAAATATTTTACTATTCAAATCTCATCTGGTGTTAAGTAAGTTTTCTACTTAATTTGTTTAATGTTAATATTATATAATCTTTGCTTCTATTAACATTGAAGTTATAGTAAAATATAATATACTAAATTAATTCATTTTTATTCATGTAATTCTAGTATAAACACCTAATTTAAAGTTATTAATATAAAATCCCATTTTATCATTATTAAACTAAGATTTCACTTAAATTGTTCTTACTTAAAATTCCCTAATTAAATTAAATTTTAATTCATTACATGACTAACAATATAGTAATAAAATTGGTTAATTTATTGTTCATTATTATACATTTAATTTCAAATTATTTGTTCTGTAATGCATCCAAATGTTTTTTTTTTTTTATTATGGTTTTGAATTAAAATGCAAAATAATAATAATTTGAAATTGTTGAAAATAGGATTTTAAATTGAACAGAACACATTATAATGGGATTAATAATTAAATTATAAATATATTATTTATTAGGTTTTCTTTGAATGAAGCTCATACAAATATTGAAGCAATGTCTTATTTAACCGATCATATTTTGTATGACATTCAATATAGTCATGATCCGAATTTGAAAGAAGCCAAAATTTTATTAAATAGATTACTTTCAAGGGATTTATATAAATTTGTTGGATCATATAATTTATTAATTGTGAGTATAGTATCAAATAATGTTTAGATTATAAATGTTATTTTATTTTAAATAATATGTATATTTAACTAATATTTTTATTTATAAAAACTAAGCAACCCGTTATTGGCTGTCACAGAAAAAATTATAAAATTTACTACTAAATAAGGGACAATGGTTCCATATTTGGCCACAATGTGTGCCTTCATCAATTGAAACCTAGCTTAGTGCAAAAAAATAGTTTGCCGAATTAATTGTGTAGTCTCTCCCTTCTATCTTTGTCTGGTTGTTCTATACTATTCCCCACTGAGAGTAACATCCTCATTTATGATAATTCTATATTTAGAAAAGGTGATATAAGTACTACAGTGTACTTAAACTTACCCAAGTGAAAAGGACATTGACAAAAATCTATGCCGGTCATTTTGATGGAAAGAAAACTTATTACTAAATTGTTACATGATTTAATGTATAATTATTTTGATGTTAAATTCTTATTATTTGAATAATTTATAGTGTTGGAACTATTGATGACTTTTTACTTTTTAGTTTTTGGTTATCATGTTCTTGTGGTGAAACCTAATAGAAATATAGATCGGCTCTGTTAATAATTACATGGTTTTCATAATTATGAACAATTATTTAGATTAACAAAGAAGTTTATGGAAACTTGATTGATATCAATCATTTAACTGAAAGTCTTAAGAATGAACTAACAAAAAATTTTCAAATAGAGTTTGGAGTATCTGCTACTTGGTTAAACAGTGGATCACCATTAAAATATCCGTTAGAAAATGTATTATTTTTCAAGAAACAATCATGTGATAGTGAATCAGTAATCATAGATGATACTCCATATCAAAATTTATATCCTATGAATGAGTAATATTTTATACTTTATAAGATGTATCATATTGTTTTATTAATGAAGTTATTAATTTCAGGTTAGATTTTTTCAAACGAGAAATCAATGTATTTAGTAAGCAGTTTAAATTAAATGGTAGTCAAATAAAAGAAGTCAATTTAATTTGTAATTCTTTTTTACAAAATTTCAAGCCGTAATCTAGGTTTATGTATTAATCTAAGAATGCTATATTTAATTAACAACCTTAAATACTTGATAATAAATAACAACAAATTAAACTTATATATATTATATACTTGTTTAGTGTTAAAATGCAATTATATTAAGCGCTGATGCTTTTGCTTATATTATTAATGTTAAATAATAAATCTAAAAATACTAAAAAAAAAAATCTAAAAATCTGCTCTGGTGATGTTTAATAATAAATTACCAAAGCATATTTTTAGTTTCTTAATTTAGTATGTTTACTTATTTATTTTTTATCCAAATATATTTTTGAATTTATTGACTTATGGGTTTTACGCATAAACATAACCTTGAACTTATATTCATCAGTTCATCGCCCAATAACACATTTCTTCTCAATTTCTGTTCTGTCTTAATAATCATCTTAATAATTTAATTTTAAATTTTATGTTACCTTCTTATTATAATTTATACACAAATGTATATTATTATAAATTGGCAAATTGTGATATTTCAAGATTAATGATTTAATAAAAAAATAAAACTTTAGAACTATTCACTTTCAATATTAAAATGAACTTATAATTAATAATATCACTTCATGCTTGACAATTTTCAAATTTAACGAATACAATAAGTTTTTAATATTTTTTTTCACCTTTTTATTAAATATCAACAAATCAATTCTTCAATTCCTTATTTATGTAATTTAAGCATACATTCAGTAAATAAATTTCTTTTGATAGTTAAATATTAAAGAAAAAATGTGTATACTATTTTTATTGAATTTACTTGATTTAACAAATATTCATTGTTTATAAATGTATAAACAATGATCATACTAAATAACATAAAATGCCAGTAATATAAATTATAAATTATAGCATTTAATTATATACAGTTTAATTTACCATCTTCCTCTTATTATATATTACTTTTGTGTTTATGTTAGGTTTTTATTAAGTTTAATTTTCAAGTTCCAATCTTATACCCTAGTCATGACATTGGTATACATTTACAATTTATTTAGTAAAATAATTTTACTTTATTCATTGTTGTAATTGTTTTCTAGTTTAAATTTTGTATTAATATACTTACACCAACACATTTAATTTAATTTCTACTGTATGTTTTATATAATACCTGTGATAATATAAGCAATGTTTTATAATTTATTTGTTACTTTTTACCTAGTTATAAGAAATTTAATAAAAATATTGTACCACGATTGTGGTGTTATTAATATTTATAATCAAAAAATATTTATTAAGTAAGTTTTATATGAATAATCTTAATAATTAAATATAAAAATAAGTTGGTCAAATGAATGAAAAAAAATAAATTTTTTTTGTATTCAGTATGTTTTTTATATCATAATCAGTTGTAAATAATAGTGCATATTGTACAATAATACTACAGGGAAATGCTTAAATATTTTATATTTTATATAATACAAATTTATATTTGAAATATTTCATTATCTTTATATTCAATATGTTGTATTTAATCATATCTGCTTTAAAAGTAAGAAATCAATGTTTTTGAATTTTAACAAGTATTTCATAATATTAAATAATATTAAGATTAAGTATTAAATATTGAAATAATATTCCAAACATGGAAGTAACACATAAGTACTTTTTTTAATGATTTAATTTGCGTATAAAATCAATGCTGGATCTCGAAAGTTTGACACCCGGGGCTAATAAAAGTGCAACGCCTTTACATATAGTGTATGGTGATGACTTCTTTCACTTTTCATAAACTTAACAAGTGCCTGGGGCATGCATACTCACAAGCTCTCCTAGATCTGGCACTGTATAGAATAGACCCACTATATATTGGGTAGCTTATATTATTAGTTAAAAATACAGATTTTAAAGTTTACAAAACTACCCTTTTAGCATCTTTTACAAATTTTAGATAGGACATTAATTTTGAATGTATTATGATATATTAAGATTTTTATCAAAATTGTTTTTCAATATCAATGATATATATAATATATATATATATAAAATATAATCTATATATAAGCATTAACTAATAATACAGACAAAATACAACTGTTTAATGACAATTTCCTTAGGTCTTTTAGCATACCTACCAATAATAACTTTGTCATGAGAGAAAGAGAATTAACACAAACATAATATAAAACCAGCATTTTACATTTTTACATTTATTCTTAATACAAAAAAATAAAATATTAATCACAGTAATTAATTTTAATTTTTAGAATAATGTTTACTTATTATTTTTAATTAATTTCAAAAAAGATTTTGTACTGCGTATAATGGAGAACAAAATTAAATTATATAGCTTGAAACTAATAATCAATATTTTTGTATTTAGTTTAACTAAAAAAAAAAGAAATATATAAAAATAATAAACTTAATACATATCCTTATATACTTTTATTAAAGCTTTTTAGATTTAACATACAAATTGTTCGCTAATATTAATTTTATACCAAGTAATCATAATTGAAAGTTACAGCATTAAATTTACTCAATACACATCATGGCTGGTTCAATTTTCAACGTAAGATGTAAAAGATGATAAAGTTACCAATCTGTCCAGAATTTCCTGACTACCACTTAATGTCAGTTCGGGTTCATTGATTGCCACTGGAATTACATATCCATTCAATAATGTCCAACCTTCTCTTTCCACAATCCTTTCAGCTTGTTCTTTGTTCACTCCCATAAATGTTTGAAATTTATCAAGCTGGATATTTTCATAATGAGTGCTAATAAATTTCAATGTGTCTTGTTGAATGCGAGACTTGATTGCCACCATGATCGGCTCCAATACATCAGACCATTTGCAGTCGATCAATTCATAGGCTTGGGTGTAGTGTTTTGTCCAAAGAGCTTTACCTATTGACCAGACTTTTTGTAGTTCTGGATTACTCTTTAAAGAATCAGGCACACGGCGCCATAAAAATTTTGCGGCACATAATTCATTGTTGTACAAGTAGGCAGAAAACAGTTTGATGTACTGTTCAGTTGTCAAGCCACCCTCTTGGATTTCATCGTTTTCTAGGCTTTCAACATCGATGCTGAAAGAACAATACTTTTTAACAGTTAGTTAACAAATTTGAAAAACAAAATTGTCAATAAAAGCAAAAACAATAATCTTTTACCTGAAGTCATATGGTTCAGCAATCATCTTAGGTTACGGTGAAACCACTACGAACTTAAAAACATACAACAATGAGAAATAAAATAAATAGGTAATACATAAAGCGGGTTCAGTTGAAAAAGATAAATTTACATTATCAAAACGAACGACAAATGTTATCATCGTGCGTGCGCCCACAGATAAAGACAATCTATTCTGTAATGGTGCGTCTACATTGATAAGAATAGAGCGGGTTCGTGCCTTCCTGGAAAAAAGAACACACCATTCGTCGAACCGAAGTATAAGTATTTATTTTAAATCATTCGTATTTCATCCCCTGCAGCAGGCCCGTACTGGCCCACCGGGCAGATGCACGACGCGCCCATGAAAATTGCGATGCATAATGCACCCATAAAAATTACAGCTATAAATAACCCTATTCAAAAATGTCGTATTGACTCTTCAATTGAAAAAGTAAACTATGTCATAATGCCGGTTCTAAGCAAGGAGATGGTACCCTGACATTTCTATCGAAGACAATTGTAGGTTATATGTTGGATACAGGTTCTTCTATGTCTAATTCAGCTGAATACAACTCAAGATACTTCAATAAATGATCAATGCTTAATAATAATACGATATGTTTCAAAATTTAGTGTGAAATAAATATTAATAGTTTTGGTTAGGGCTTGGAACTTAATTGCATCTTTTTATTTAATGCTTGTATTCGAAGCCCATCTTTATAGAAATTTGACTTGTGCCATTCAGAACTCAATAGTACCAATTTTATTTTGCATTTTATCGGTAATTCTCGGTTGTAAGGTCATTTTTTAGCAATTTTGGTGCATTTTATAAATTTTTCTACTTTTTTAGGTATATTTGCATTTTTCTTGTTGAAAGAATATGTTTTTTTGTTTCATATTATTTTGATAAAATTAAATATTTGAGAAAACTAACATAATGTATAAGTGAATCCTTCAGTTATTTTTATATTATTGACATTATTTCGTATCTTCGTTTCAAATTTATTTGTTGTATGTCGAAAAAACACTCGGTTGAATTCGTTTGTAAATCATTTTGCCAAAGGAGTTTTTTAAATCCATGGCTGTGTATTGTTTTGTAAGACTTGCGAAGTAAAAGAGACGGCTGACAAAAAATGTATAGTCGAGCATCATATTTCGTATAATAATCACATTAATGATGTTGAACTGAAAAAAGAAACAACTACAACAAAGTTCAAGTAAAATTCAACAATTAATTACTGAACCATCTAAAAAATTATCTTTTAATCGTGATCTGTGTCATGCATTATTCGCAAATATTCCATTGCAAAAATTATAGAATGAGGCATTTAAACATTTTCTGGAGAAATATAAGAATAAAATAATTCCCGATGAATCGACTTTAAGGAAAGGTTATATTTTTCAGTGCTACCTAGACACTGTTAATAAAATCAGATCTTACGAAGAAAATAAGAAAATTTGGGTAACTTTGGATGAAACTAAGGACACTGTAGGGCGCTATGTAGCGAATGTTGTTATGTGAACTTTAAAATTGAACGGTTCCGGGAAACATTTTCTAATTAATACTGAAGTCCTAGAAAAGGTAAATCATAATACAATTTTAAAATTTTTTAATAGATCCCTTCAAATTTTTTGGCCTAATGATATTAAACATGATCAAGTACTGCTTTTATTGTGTGATGCACCTTTTATGGTCAAAGCAGGTAAAGCCATTAAGGTATTTTATAAAAAATGGAGCATGTAACATGCTTGGCTCATGTCTTACATAGAGTGACGGAAGAAATCCGGAAAAATTTCCAAAAAGTCATTCAACTTATTTCAAACTGCAAAAAAAAATATTTTTGAAGACTCCTTCGAGAATACAAATTTTTAAAGAGCTAACACCTAATATTCCATTACCCCCACAATCTGTGCTAACTAGATGGGGAACATGGTTAACGGCAGCTTTTTATTATTGTGAGAATTTTGGTACAATTAAAAATATAATCATAAAACTGCACAAAAATGTGCTTTCATGCATATTTTACATTTTTTATGCACAAAAATAACTTTCATTGAAAAAGTTATTGATTTGATCGCCGATCTAGAGTTAGAATTAAACTTAGTTTACATTAAATCAAACTTTGGATCGCTACCACATTCAATAAACAGATTAGAATCGTCAAAAATATGTCTTACCGATGCTATACTATTTTATAGAAGAAAAAAATAAAATTCAACTAGCACGAAATTCAAAAAAAAATTTAAACTGTTTTGGACAAAAATAGTGGTTATAAAATAATGCAGATTATTTCAAAAATATTGGAATGTCAAGAAGTGACAAAAAGAGGATTGCCAGAAAATTTGAACGCAGATGACATCACTTTTTTTAAACATGCACCAATCACATCTGTGGAAAGAAGTTTTTCAACTTTTAAAATTTTACTATCAGACAATCGCCAATCTTTTTATTTTAAAATATTAAACACACTTTAATAGTTCAGTGTAGCACCTTTATTATTTAAAAGTATTTATATAAATTTATTTAATTTTATAAAAACATATTTAAAATTTTTCATAGTCATTTTTTGATGTTTATAAATCATTTTAATACTTTTTTTGTATGCATTTTTAAAGATTTTTAGGTCATCAAATTCCGGGCCCAGGTTATGGTAAAATGTAAATTGTCGACTGAAGAAAAATTGTTGAATTATTGCTGAATGTTCTTAAAACAATAAATATTGATATATTAAATGCGGGGGAAGTTCATCTAACGGAGCGGCTAATATGCAAGGGCAATACATATATATCATATAATTTTTTAAGGCTACAAAATATTAACTTACCAGCTCCATCGACTATTCGTCGTTGGAACGGAGAGTCAACATTTTTACCTGGTTTAAGTGGCGTATTTTTTAGTCACATTAAAAAAAAATTTTAACATAAAACCAATAAAAAAAAAAGTTGCAGTATAAGTTTTGATGAAATGTATATTAAAGAATTTTTAGAGTATTCAAAAAATTATGACTTCATTGAAGGTTCTGAAGATTTTGGACATTATTGTCGGACAAATAAAAGTGCGAATTGAGTTATGGTGTTTATGGCTCGAGGATTGTATTAACCGTGGAAATTTCCAGTTGCGTACTTTTTGGCTCATTCAGGAGTAAAACATAAATTACTAAAAAATTTAATAATAGATGTCTTAAATGAATTAATTAAAAACGGATTGTACCCTAAAATATTAGTGTGTGACCAAGGCACAAACAATCGGAGTGCATTAAAGTCGTCAGGCGTAGATGAAAACAAATATTATTTTTTTGTAGAAGATTATAAAATATTTTCAATTTTCGATGTCCCACACTTAATAAAAAGTTTAAGAAATAATTTAATAGGTTGTAATTTTGTAAAGGATAATATGAAAATAACAGTGTTTAGTGATATTGCAGCAAAATATCAAATAGATAAAAAAAATATAAAAAGTAAATCTCTCTTAAAAATCACTGAAGCTCATATCAACCCAAGTTCATTTCAGAAAATGAGAGTAAATTTAGCCGTGCAATTATTTAGCCATACAATGGCGTCTACTATTTGTAACTTGCATCAAAACCAATGAATTAAAAAGTAAGACAGCAAAAAACATAGTCGATTTTGTAGATTTTATAAATAAATTGTTTGACTGCTTGAATAGTAAAACATTGTATACTTCAAATCCATAAAATTGAGGATTATCTGATTCCAGTATAGTAAAACCATTTTTAAATGAAGCTGCAACTTATTTTATAAATTTACAAAAAAATAAAAATGGCAAAATAACTAAGCCTCCATGTTTTAAAGGCATAACACAAACAATAAACGGTATTCTGAGTTTTTTTGAGGAAGAAAAATCTAATAACAATGAAGTCATTTTTATATTAACTAATCGGTTAAACTAGGACACACTAGAAAATCTATTTAGTATTATGCGACAAAAAGGCGGCTACAATAAGAATCCTACAGCTAGAACGATTAGAACGTTATTTAGAAGTACTTGTATTTTCATTATTCACTTCTATAGGGGCGAATTTTGAAAGTATTATTGAAAATACCGATTATCAAACAAACGAACAAGTGTCAATTCTAATGGAGGGAGAACAGATAAATAATATCAAAATGATCAATCTTCAGATACCAATTCAGAATGCAGTGTATATGATATAGATGTATCAGTTCCAGAGAATATAAACACAATACCAGTCACATTAGAAGATGGTTCGGCCACATATTTCGCTGGATATCTAGTGTTGAAATGTATGAAAAAATTTGGTTGTGAACATTGGCGCAACTAAGGGGGGACTCAGGGAGGCTTAGCCCCTCAAAATGTATTATAGCCCCCTCAAATTTTTTGATTATTTAAAATGTAATGATAATTTAAGCATGGGATAGTGAGATACATACTAAATAATATGAATATATGACGCAGAGAATTATTCAAAAGTAAATTGTATAAATATAAAATATTATTATTATAGTTTATTTTGTAATTCCTACAATCCTACATAATTAATAATAATATTGTTATCTAATAAATGTGACGGACGACGGTGGAATATTGCGGTGGTGTTATGTCATATTTTATGTAAAACATATTACATAGAAGTAGGTACATGATTTTTAATAATATAGTATGGTAATAATATTTTATGATTGTTTTTATTTCAATTAATAATTATTGTTCTGTGTCTGCGGCAATGGGGGGTATGGGGGGCGAAGCCCTCATAGCTCACATTGACTATATTTATTTATAGGGCTTCAGCCCCCCCCCCCCAATATTTTAGACCTAGTTGCGCCAATGGTTATGAATATTGTAAGGATGAATTTAACTTATTTGGATTTGGTTTAATTCGCCATTTCGTGTACCATTCTGACAATAAATTCAGATGAATTTGAAGGTTCGAAGATGCAATTTGGGGGTTTTTGTCAATTGAGATTATAGCTTTGTCATTCGCGTAATCGGCTACTATAGTATTTTGAGAGACAGGCTTGTCTGATGTGTAAATATTGAATAAAATGGGTGAGAGGATTCCACCCTGAGGGACACCAGCGAAAATGTTTTCAATTCTCGAGACAGAAGATCCAAACGGGATTTGGAAATAGCAGTTAGT